ATAAAATAAGATGTCCATGTTCAAAGTGTAAAAATCTCAAATTTAAAGACCCACACGAAGTTGGGTATGATTTGTACGCGGTCGGTTTTGTTCCCAATTATTATAATTGGACTTCTCACGGCGAACCTTTGGATCCATCTGTTATACCACAAACGGTAGGTTCGTCTCGTTACGTCCCTCCAGAGATGAGTGCGTGGGGAGACCGTGCTGAAATGAGGTGGGACCAACAAATGGTATATGACGCATACGGTGTACAGATGTCTCAGTTCAACCCCCCACAACCACCTAACGACCCCCCTGAAGCCTCAACCTCGTATCAACCAGATGCGGATGAAAATCCGACATTTTATCAACCTTATGTGGATGAAGGTTTGGCTGAGAGATTTCAGGATGTTCTAAAAGCTGCCGACCAACCTCTGTATGCTGATTGTGAGGGATACTCTCAGCTATCCGCCGTTACTGAATTCATGAACATAAAAGCCGAATACAGTCTCCCTGAAACTTGCATGAATAGAGTCTTGCAGTCAGTAGGAGGGATGCTACCGCGAGATCATACCCTTCCGGATTCATATTACCACATGAAGCAGTTAATGTCTAAGTTGGGGCTACCTTGTGTTGAAATTGATGCGTGCCCGGAAGGATGTATGTTGTTCTGGAAGGAGGATGAGGCACTTGAGTTCTGCAAGTTCTGTGGTGGAGACAGATACAAACCTGTTCGTCAAGGTAAAAAGAAACCACGACATAGGTCTGCACTGTCTAAACTGTATTACCTCCCAATAGCTCCTCGACTGCAGAGGATGTACGCTTCGACTGCTACTGCGAAACACATGACATGGCATGTTGAGCACGAAACCAACGAGGGTATGATGGCTCACCCTTCGGACTGTGAAGCCTGGAGACACTTTGACCGCTGTCATCCTCAGTTTGCTATGGAGCCACGAAATGTGCGGCTGGGATTGTGCTCAGATGGATTTGCTCCTTTTGGCAGGTTTGGCAAGAACTATTCATGTTGGCCGGTCATGTTAACTCCTTACAATCTCCCTCCCGACATGTGCATGAAAAGTCATTTCATCTTTTTGTCTTTAATTTGTCCGGGTTCCAAGGATCCTGGGCGAAAGATAGACATTTATCTCTAACCCCTTGTCGAGGAGATGAAAGAACTGTGGGCCGTTGGGACACCAACTTATGATGTTTCATCAGATAAAATGTTTATCATGAAAGCTGCCATCATTTGGACCATTAGCGACTTCCCTGCCTATGGCATGCTTTCGGGATGGAGCACACACGGTTTGATGGGATGTCCGATATGTATGGAGAAATCAGGTGCCAACTGGCTTAGTTACAGCAAAAAAGGAAGTTACTTTGATTGTCACCGCAAGTTTCTCCCGGAAAGGCACCGATATCGAAAGGACAAGAAGTCTTTCATTAGAGGCAGAGCGGTACGAGAGAGCCCACCCCCGAGATTGACCGGTGAAGAAATTTATAACCGGGTTCGACGTTTTCCTACGGCTATGGAAGAGCCAAACCAAGAGCCATATGGGTATTGTGATACCCATAAGTGGACAAAGAGGAGCATATTCTGGGAGTTGCCTTATTGGAAAGACCTTCTCATCCGTCACAATTTAGATGTCATGCACACTGAGAAGAACGTCTTTGACAATATATTTAACACGGTGATGGATTTGAAAGGCAAAACTAAAGACGGTCTTGCAGCTAGGAAAGATATGACTATTTGGTGTGATAGACCCGAACTTTCTGTTGATCTAGAATATCAGGGCAAGGAAGTTCCAAAAGCAGTCTACCAGGTCACAGAACCACAAAAGGCAGCAATATTACAATGGCTTGCGTCTCAGAAGTTTCCAGATGGCTACTGCTCCAACTTGTCTAGATGCGTAGACATGAACAAACTTACCACGACGACGAGCATGAAAACTCATGATGCTCATGTAATAATGCAAAGACTTCTACCAATTGCACTAAAAGAGATGCTTCCTGAACACGTATGTTCCAGCGTTTTGGATGCGGCATCCCTCCGGAGACTACAAGATTCTGTTCCCATTCTGATGTGTAATCTAGAAAAAATAATGCCTCCATCGTTTTTCGATACAATGGAACATCTGATAATACATCTTCCGTATGAGGCTTTGACTGCTGGGCCCGTCTTCTATCGCTGGATGTACAGATTTGAAAGGTTAGTAACAATTTCATTTAAAAAAAGAATATTTATTTCACAATAACTGTTAACATGTGTATCGTTGTTATATTGCATTATTGCAGATTTCTAGGAGAGCTGAAAAAGAAAGTGACCAACAAGGCACACGTTGAGGCTTCAATTTGTCAAGCGTATCTTCAACAAGAAATCTCAACGTTCTCGTCTTTTTACTTCGAGCGTGACGTCATCACCAGAAGGAAGAGACCTGCCCGGAACGATGACATTGGCGAGGATTTATATGAAAATGTAGTTTCCATCTTCAATTACCCAGGCAGAGGTAAAGGTGCTGCGACACAACGATACATCGTGGGTGGGGAATTGCAAATTGCACATACTTATATCCTCATGAATTGTCCAGAAATCTCACCGTTTTATCAGTAAGTTAAATTTGTAGTTATAATTGTAATACTTATCAATTAAATTTGTAGTTAATTTATAATTTTTTTATTTTTGAATTCACAGTGAATTCAGAGCTTCTTTATCAGCCTTTCCTGAGAATCAAATTGATGCATTGGTAGACTCTGATTTTGTAAATTGGTACAAGTATCAGGTATATATATACACACACATTAATTATATATATATTATTAAGTAAGATTTTTCAATATTTACCTAATGTTATTATCATGTTTATATTTACAGATCAATAGTCGTGGGATTGTCGACCCTTTGTTAGTATCATTAGCGTGGGGCCCTAGTGCCAGTGCCAAAGTGTGGCGGCAATATGTGATAAACGGTTACACATATCACACAGCCGATTACGGAGAGGGCCGACCAACAACGAACAGCGGGTTATGTGTCCCGACCATCGGTTATAATAACTCGGAAACCAATTTTTTTGGTGTCCTGCAGGAGATTCTGGAACTTGAGATGCCTTCTGGTGCGAAAAAATTGACATGCGTTCTGTTCCGTTGCACATGGGTCGACCCCACACGTGGCGTGCGCAAAAATCTGAAGTATAATATGATTGACGTCAACCAGTCTCGTGTGTACCCGAAAAATGAGCCTTTCATACTCGCCCAACAAGCAGCGCAGATTTATTATGCAGAATATCCTTCAACAAGGCGGACACAGAATCCTTGGGTGTGTGCATGTCCTGTCCGTCCGAACAAAATAAAATCACAAACTCAACACAAGGACGTTGATCTAGATGCTTTTCAGTAACAATTTTTCCAACCTCCGCCTATTGTTGAGACGGTCAACTATGACATCCAATTAAGTGATCCAAATGGCGGACGTGTTGAAGTCATGCCAGAAACGCACCTTCCGGACCCAACCATTCCATCTGAGCGCGAAATTGAGGAAATGTATGTAGCACAACAAAACGCTCAATATCAGGAAGAAGGTGAATGGATAGACGGTTCAGATACAGAAGAAGATACTGTATATGTAGAAAATGACGATTCTGATAGCGAATAATTGTGCTGTTGTAATTTCAATTTTATTGACTTCTAATATTTGTGCAGATTTCTTCATCATTATATTACTCCAACAATATTTGAATTTTTTTCTATCTTTATCATTATTATTTATGAACACAAAATTACTCCATATTAATTCAACCACAACAAGTTTTTTATATCCATATTATAAATTCAAAATAAAATTTTTCACAATTCGAAGTTTGAAAATTAAAATTTATCCAATACAAAATATGAAATTACTCTATATTATATCCATGTAATTTCAAATTTCGAAGATTCAAATATTATTTTTGATTTTTCTAAATTCGAAAATTTATTTTAATAATTTTTAATAATTCGAAATTCGAAAATTAATTTTAATAATTCTAAGTCTATTCGAAAATTAACAAAATTCGAAAATTAAAAAAAAAGTAATTTACTTTTACTAATCTGAATATTATAATAAATTTAGATATTAATAAACAACTAACAGAGATTTATTTATCAAATTTCAAAGATAAATACAAAACACACAATGAAATTGTCACATATTATTTATCAAACAACTAACATAGATTTATTTATCACATTAACCTAACTAACATTATTCATTCCTCAATCGGAAACTTTCAAGAGGCCTAGCCCACAACTCCTGAATTTTCATTCGAGCTTCTTCGTTGATCGGGTCCATATACTCTGAAACTTCTTGTGCACGTTGAAGCATCCGACACAAATTTCTTGCTTTTGACTTGCCCAATGAGTCGGATTCTTCATCTTTATAATCGCCAAAACTTTCAAGGGGTCTAGACATCAACTCCTTGATTCTCTCGTATGCTTCCACGGTTTTCGGCTCCATAAGCTGTGTAATCAGCTTAAGTCGTTTCATATCTCTACACATCGAATCCCAGTCAATTGGACCTCTATTATCCATTTTTTTTACAGTCCAGTCTTGGGCCGGAAAAAGATGATTTATACTAAAAAATTTCAAGTTGTCACGGTCTTAGTCACGGATACAGCCGTGACTAACCTGTCAGTCTGGCAGCCGGAGAGGTGTCAGGGCCGCCGGTCTAGTCACGGTTTTAACCGTGACTAGGACCGTGACTAAATTCAAAATTTGAATTAGACACGGTCGTAGTCACGGATAAAACCGTGACTAAACCGGTCAAAGGCGGCTGATGCCGCGTGGCTGATTTCGTTGATTACGAAGGGTTTAGTCACGGATATATCCGTGACTAAGACCGTGACTACACCGATATATAAAATCAACACTTAGCAATTTTTTCAAACCTACGCTTCCCAAACCCTATATTCCTCTCAAACTCTTTCTCTTCCAACTTTCCTTCCACTGCCGCCGGTCTGAGTTCAACGCCGCCGCCGTCCGCCGTCCGCCGTCCACTGCTGTTGTTCGCCGCCGGTTGCCGCCGACCACTGCCGTCGTCTACCAATCCTCTTTTTTCGCTCCTCTCTCCACATCAAGGTTATGTTTTCTCGATTAATTTTTTACTCACAAATGCATGTTTATATGCTCCTATGCATGTTCTATTTATTGAAAATTGCATGCCTTAATGATTCATTCTACAATTACATATTTATGTGTATGTTTTTACGTTTATACATACAAATGAATGTTATTATTATGTTCGCAAGACAATATTAATTTTGTAATATTGTAATATTAATTTCGCATAACAATATTAATTTGCATGCTCAATATTAATCTCTCCATAATTCTTATTTTTGTTTTAGTTTCGAATTACAATATTAATTTGCATGCTCAAAGTTGACAAAATATATTTTTCCTTTTTTGTTTGATGTCTAATACGCATGCTTTAGATATAGTTTGATTCAATTTGATTATTTTTTGTATAAGTTTAATATGCATGGCTAAATATGATTTAATTTTAGGTTAAACAATATGCATGTTTTTTCAAACTTTTTTTTCCGGACTTATGCATGAATTATTTAGACATTGTTAGGATTATTATTATTTTATCATCAATCAAATTTATTATTTCCAAATTATTTAAAAAATACCCCCTCATGTCAAAGTTCCAAAAAAGTTTAACATGTTAATTATAAAATATTAATTTAGACATTAAAAACTATTTTCCGAAATAAAATATAAAATATATATTATAAAAAACAGTTTAATAATATACTGTTTTTTATTAAACAGTTTAATAAAAAACAGTTTGACAAAAAAAACAGTTTAAAAAAAAAAGTTTGATAAAAAACAATTTAATAAAAAACAGTTTAAAAAACAGTTTAATATTAACAGATTGCAATCAAATAAAATCAGATTTTAATAAAAAACAATAAAAACTGCTTTCCAAAATAAAATATAAAATATAGATTATAAAAACAGTTTAATAGATAACTTATTTTTAAACCGTTTAATAAAAACTTTTTTTATTAAAAAGTGAAATAATAATCATTTTTAAAGTTTAAAACAATCTGTTTTTCATTTTTTATGAAAAACAGATTTTTTATTCAACAATTTTTATTAAAAAGTGAAGTAATAAAAAAACAGATTTTAATAAAACTGTTTATATAAAACTGTTTTTATAAAACTTTTTTATATAAAACTGTTTTTGTATAAAATTATTTTTTATATAAACTGTTTTTTTATAAAACTTTTTTTAAATAAAACAGTTTTATATAAAAACAGTTTTGTATAAAAGCGGTTTTATAAAACATAGTACGAAAAGTTAAAAAATAGTACGAAAATGCAAAAAAATATATTTTTTAACATGTACGAAAATAAACTTATGTTCCCTCATGTAAACTTGCCTAAAAGTTTAACATGTTACATTTAAGAACAATTTATAAAATTAACACCTCTCATATTAAACTTACACACAGTTTAATATGTTTTACACATTTTCAATTGATAAAACTTGTATAAAAATTTGATCTTCTATTATGATCATACTAACATTCAAAAATATCCCCTCATGGTAAACTTCCAAAAAAGTTTAACATGTTAATTATAAAATATTAATTAAGACAGTAAAAACTGTTTTTCGAAATAAAATATAAAATATAGATTATTAAAAACACATTAATAATATACTGTTTTTTTATTAAACAGTTTAATGAAAAACAGTTTGATAAAAAACAGTTTAATAAAAAAAAATTTGAACTTGCCTAAAGTTTAACATGTTACATTTTATAACAATTTATAAAATTACCACCCCTCATATTAAACTTACACGCAGTTTAATATGTTTTACACATTTTCAATTGATAAATGTATAAAAATTTGATCTTCTATAATGATTAGACTAACATTTAAAAATATAAATTAATATATTTTAGATGAGCAATGAACAATCAACCTCGCGTACCCGCCCAAACTATGTGCCCTTAACCGAAGCTGAGCGCAACAATGAAAATGCGCTTTGGGTGACGCCCCACATGGTTGCGAAGTGAGTAACTATGAATTTTATCTAACGTGAAATAATTTTTTCAATGTATCATAATGTAATCAAAACTTTTATAAATAAATAATATTAATTTTCTGAAGCGATCAAGAAGTGTTGGACCAAATCAAAGTCATAATTGGAGGACACTTTCTTGGAAACTGGGCAGCATACACAGAAGTAGACCCCAAGGTTCGTGAACTTTGGTGGAACCTTTTCAAGGTAAAAAAATGAATTTTCTCTGCGTAATTGTTTTAACGTAACATTTGATAAAAGATAAATTAATTTATTTGTTTTTTATAAAGGGTCGGTTTCGATGGACTGAAGCCCAAGGTCCAGCTATTCTTAGAGCGTATAACGCTAGGATTTCAAATTGGCTTCGTCCTACTTTTAGGCGTGCCCGAACGAGCGGGGTAAAGCCTGGATGGTGTTCGGATGAGGTGTGGGCTAACCTCGTCCGTCACTGGTCTTCTGATCCAAACTTCTTGGCAAGAAGTCAATCCGGTAAGAAAAACCGGATGTCCGAGAAAGCCTTAGAAACCCAATGGCATGGGGGCCGCAAACCTCAGAGTAGACATAAAGAAGATCTTGTAAGTATTTTTCAAAAAACCTTACACAATTACAACCCTTTATTTTAACAATTAATTATGGATCGTAAGCCTTTTTTCCAAATTGTAGTCGGGGCCTGAGAAGAAGAAGGTCTCAATTCTCAAGGTCATCAAGCACTGCTGGACAAAGCACGGCGATGAGTCCGATGCCGATCTGCCACCCCGCCTCGCTGAAATCGAAGTAAGTAACACTATTTTGTTACTTACTTCCATTCAAAATCAAATTGAGTAACATTAAATTAACAATTTTTGTACATGTAGTCAAAGTATAACACAAATGTTGAGAAGAGGCGGGCAGAATTAGGCTTGACTCAGGAGGATGAGATTGATTCTGATGTGGAGGATGATGCCATCTTTGAGGCAGTTGGGGTGTACAAGGGCCGGGTCCCGTGCATGGGGGCTGAGGGGCAACGGATCTTGTACGACCGCAGCGGTGCTTCATCTTCCCGATCAAGGCGCGGAGAGGATCCGCGTATCGCTCAAATGCAGCGGGAGATGGAGGAGCAGCAGCGGGCCTTGGCTGAGCAGCAGCGCACCTTGGAGGAGCAACGCAAAAAAGAAGAAGAAGAAACAAGGGCCCGGCTGGAAGAGATGGAACGGATCCTCAGCGCCGGAATTCGGAATCAGCCTCAGCCTCAGCCGTATGTACTGCACCCTAAGCAGACACCTCAAGTTCCGCACATGGGCGGTTATTTCCGTACCAACTCTGCTACCGGGTTGCCTTCATTTGGTTCTATTCAGGATATCAATTTTCACAACCTGTTTCAAACATCTGGAGGCAGCCAAGCAGGTGGAAGTCGCGGAGGTGGCAGTCGCGGAGGAGGCAGTCGCGGTGGCAATCGAGAAGGCCAAGCTGGAGACAACCGAGAACATGAGACCGAAGATGATTATCTATATGATGATTCTAGATATTATCATAATGGTGCCGGAGGAGCTTGTAAATGATATACATTTTTATTTGAACATTGTTTATTTACTATAATTCTATTGTGCTTATTATTACTTTTATTTCAGTCTGTTTGGTTATGAAATGTGTGTTCTAGTAGTCTGTTTATTACTTTTATTCTACAAATATATTTTAAAATAAACTTTTCTAAAGAATAATTAAAAATAAATTTATTTTTTTTTTAAAACAAAAAAACTTTTTTTTAAAAAATAAAAAACTTTAGTCACGGATCCGAGCCGTGACTAAATTCTAGACCGATTTTTTAAAAAGTTATTTTACAAATTTAATTTTTTTTAAAAAAACAAAAAAGTAGTCACGGATCAAGTCCGTGACTAAAATTTGAAATTTGAAAATTTAAACCGTAACATTTGGCGGTTTGTTTTTTTAAATTTGAAAGTTTAGTCACGGATTAGTCCGTGACTATATTTAGTCACGGAAAAGGCCGTGACTAAGTCGCCGGTGTGGTTATTCCGGTGACAAGTTAGTCACGGGAACGGTCCGTGACTAAGCCGTGACTACGCTAAGTCACGGATAAAATGACCGTGACTAGAATTAGTCACGCCCAAACAGTCACGGATTTAGTCACGGACAAAGTCCGTGACTAGCAGAGTTAGTCACGGTTTTTTTATACTACGGTCCGTGACTAAATCCGTGACTAACTCCGTGTTTTTTTGTAGTGTGCACATAATAGCAAAGTATAAAAATTGTGGATGATTTTTATGTAAAAAAGAGAGAAAATATTAAAAGTATAAATTATTCCCTCCGTGTCGGTTGAATCTTGATGTTTGTTTTTGACACGGTGTTTTAGGCGAAAATTTTAACGAGCATATAACGTGCTCATTAGAGAGCACGTCATTCTAAAAATTAGCCGCATATTTCATCAATTCAAAAGCTTCCCTAATCTCACTTCCACTAACAACACACTCTGTATTATATCATTTTTGTTATGAATTTATAATATAACACGATTAATTCCATGTTTTGTACGTGAATTATGATATATTTACAATATAATTGGTATATGTATTGGTGAAATTTAGTTGAATCCGGTATTAGTTGAATCCATTAAAATTGGTGAATTTTTGGTTGAAATAATATAATATGATGAATTATGAAAACGTTATATTTAAAATATACTAGTATTTATTAGTAAAAAAATATATGAACAAATTTCTAAAAAAGTCTTCTTCAATTTAGTGAATTCAGTCACAAAAGGAATTGGGGTTTGTCCTCAAATAATACTAATTTAAAGCATTTGGACAAAAAAAGAGACTTTTCTTTTAAGTTCCAAAAATAAGACTAAATAATACTTAAGGGACTGTTACACCCTTACTAAGCCCAAACCCACTGGCTTGCTACAGTAACCCGCCACATTGACCAAATGTGCAGTGACCAATGTTACAGTTACCAATGACATAGTTACAAAATCCGCCAGTGACCAAAATTCATCAATGACCAAAATCCGCCAGTGACCAAAAAATCGCCAGTGACCAAAATTCATCATTGACCAAAATCCGCCAGTAACCAAAATACCGCCAGTGACCAAATGTGCAGTGACCAATGTTACAATTACCAATGACATAGTTACAAAATTCATCCAGTGACCGAAAATTAATACGTCCCACCAATGACCCGCGCATCACAGTGACCAAATGTGCAGTGACTTTTGTCTAGTGACCAATTGACAAAGTGACATCCGCTCGGTGATCAATCTTTATAGTGATTTCCGTGCAATGACCACCGCCACAATGACCATCATCTACCAGTTACAGTTATCCGACTCGTCCCTAGTTACACTTACCCGACCCGTCCAATTACAGTTACTCGACCCGTCTAGTTACAATTACTCGACCCGTCCAGTTACCCGATCCGCAAATTATTGTTTACTAATTTTGATCAATTATAATTACTCAATCAGATCAATTACCGTGACTGGTTCCATCATTTAAAGTTTCGGACCATCACCCTAGCACTAGTGACCACCACCTCCGGCCACCACCTACAGCCACAGCCGACCACCACCTCCAACCAACAGACCCCAGCCCCTACCGTGTCACCCCTGCCCCCAACCAACATTCCCCACCCCACAGTAGCCTCCACCCATCACAGCAGCCCCCAACCACCCTCCCCAGCCCTTGCACAACCGCATCGCACCCCACCCCACCCAGAGCCGTCGCACCGTCGCACTCTCTACTCCCACACAACCACTAGCCCGTCACGGCCAGGCCACTTCAGGCGCCGCAGGTCACCCTTAGCCTCCATCACCGCCATCAGCGGTGTACAGGTGTAGATCTATTGAGGATGGAGGATCCAGCAACGACGGCGGCCATTAAGGAAGTATGAAGCAGCAACGCCGTCCATCGATCTTCGTTGTTGGTCGATTTCAGATGCCCTGATGAAGGAGAAGAATGAAGATGTAGCAGCGGTGTAGGGAAAACAGCTGTGAACGCAGCAGAAATAGAAGAAAGACAAATCGATTGAAGACTCGAAGGTGCTGCTTGCAATCGAGGAGGCCGAGATGGAGATTCGAAGGTGGGAGTTGCGATGGAGGATGGCTGCGCAGGAGTGGAGATTGAGATTTACGAATGGAATTGGGTCGAGGAGCGAAGATCGGAAAGGTAAATACGAAGGATTAGCTAATGGCAAATTGTGTGGGGAAGGGTAATTTAGTCTCTTTGCTTCAAGATTAGTTCTATTTATGTCAAATGGGATAACCGTTCATATTTATGTCTTTAAGCACCGCAGGAGTATTATTGTGGTCATTGTTTCAAAGGAATTCCACCCTTAATTAATTTGATTATTACGGAGTACATAGCTTTGTGAACGAAATAAAAAAATATTTTCTTGATAAAAAGTTGTTGATAAATCTGATAAACTAAAAGTCGTGATTACTAAAAATTCCAATGGTGGTGGTGGTCATTGTTGTGGTAATTATTGTCGGCGGTGGTCACTGCGTTAGAGGCCATTGCGTCGGAGGTCACTGTGGCGGGTCACTCTGAGATATAATCACTTGGCATTAGGGATAATTTAGTAAGTTTTTAATCCGTTTTTTTTTTTCAAAACAAATAACTAAATTATTATTGATAAGGGTGGGTATCAAGAAATATAACAATCAAAGCTGAAGCGTTACAATCATAGCATTCAAAGCCACACTAGCTAGGGTGGGACAACGAACAAAAAAAGACCTATAGGGGCGCTTCGGTTCGCTAACCTTGCAACGATGTAGACTAGTACCGCAATATGACTACTCATACTACTAAAAATTGATCCTGTTTGACCAGCCACCGAAAAGGAACTATGAAATTTCTCGGTTTTGCCAGTCAAAAGTAAGGAGTCAAGTGCAGAATTTGTTCTAGTATCACCATCCTCTAGAAAAAAGCAATCCATGCAATTCCATCTTTCTTGATCAGGCGTGGTTCGGGGGGGGGGGGGGGGGGGGGGATCAACCTCAATATTGATTCAGAAGAAATCCAGATTCTTGATTGATGAAGAAGCCGCTTGAAATCTACTACTAAGCACACGAGAATATCTGATCGATGATGGCGGGGAATATACAACTAGAAGACGACAATTTGCCACCGAAAATAACATCTCTAGACAACGCTAAAAAATAAATGTATAGATAGAACTGGAAATAATGATTAAATAAATCCTTTTTCATAATTGTAGTCAAAAGAACTGAAATTCAGCCCACGTACAATCCCGCGTATTGATTTTCGCCCACTTTTTCCATTTTCTATACATTCAGCCCTGTTTTGTCCGCTTTTCATACTAGAGCTTAGAGAGATAAACCCTAGGTCGATTTTTGAGAGCTTTTCAAGTCTTGGATTGTCAAGATTTGGTGATTCTTTGTAAGTTCAATCTTTTTTATTAATGAAAATTAATTCTTTCTTTCAGAATATAATTCTGTTTATTTTTCAATAATTTTCATGTGATTACATCTGATCAACCAGAAATTTGATTACTCCGGTATCAATCCATGTTCCCTATCGTCATTAATTAGAAAGTCCCCCTTAATTTTATCCGCTTTTGCGCATTAGTTAATTTTCCAAAAAAAATCCAATTTTGCACATCGCGTTGATTTATTTATTTTAATCGTTGAATTTAATTAATTCTCAATTATTAATTATTTTAATCGTACTTACACCCTATACTGCTACATATTTTTAGTGCGAGAAAACTCTCACACACACACGTGGTTCTAATTCTACATGTTGATAAATAAACATAATTATGTAATGTTGATTACAATTCAAAGTTGTTACTTAAGTAACCAAACATAGTAATGGAATAAAGACTTCATTCTGTTACATCACATTTGGCATTGCATTACGCATTGCATTCCATTGCGTTGCATTACATCACACCAAACATAGTCTTATTGTTTTGTGATGACAGTATAACATACACTAAAAATGAAATCACCGTGCTATGTTTTCAATTATAAAATTTTAGACTCTATTTGTTCATACCGGGATTTAGTCATGGGGGGGGGGGGGGGGGGGGGGGCAAGAAGAAAGACAAACAATAAAGAGAAAATTTTCCTCGATAGCGAGATTTTTTTCATATATACTAGTAAAACATATTTGACAGGAACTGCTCCGTTCTATTTGAGGGGGAAAGCATATTTTGTACTATTTTTAATCATATATATGAATATTTTCATCAGCAATGATTCTGTC